ATTCGACATGTCTGCTATGTTCAACAAATTTCTCGAATGGTATAAGGATCAACAGTCTTCTAGTTCCACTATATCTGTCACATATACAAATACATATTTTCGTTGGTCCGACCCAATCATTTTCTCCTGGTCCTTGGGTTTTTGATTCGAGAGCCACTCGATCATATTACTCGGTAACAAATCTTTGTTCTCCTCTTTATCCTCTCCTAATCATTTACCTTACGTTACATCTGGTTGATGGCTCTAGAGTATCATCTCATGGTGTTGGAACGGTTAAACTTTTTTCTTCTTTAACCATTGATAATGTTCTTTATGTCCCTGGGTCTCCTTTTAACCTGTTGTCCATCAGTCGTCTAACTCGTTCTCTTGATTGTGTTGTTACTTTTACCAACAATTCTTTGTGTTTACAGGACCAGAATTCGAAACAGGTGATTGGCACAGGATGTGAGTCTCATAGTCTTTATTATCTCCGTCCCTCTACACATATTAGTACAGTTATGGAGTCTCCCTCTCTTTTTCATGCTCAGTTAGGTCATCCAAGTCTTGCCAAGTTACAGAAACTTGTCTCTACCTTGTCTAACTTATCTAGTTTGGCGTGTGAGTCATGTCAATTAGGCAAACATAGTCGTACTTCCTTTCCTCGTAGTTTCACACGTGGTGCTTCGTCCCCTTTTGCCGTGGTTCACTCTGACATTTGGGGACCTAGCCGCGTTAAGTCTACTTTAGGTTTTCAATACTTTGTTACTTTCATTGATGATTATTCCAGATGCACTTGGTTATTTTTGATGAAAAATCGTTCTGAATTATTTCATATCTTTCAAACTTTTTTTAATGAAATTCAAACTCAGTTCGGTGTTTCTATTAGAGTTTTGCGTAGTGATAATGGTCGTGAATATCTTTCTCATTCTTTTAAACAATTCATGGCTTCTCACGGTATTTTGCATCAAACTTCTTGTGCTTATACACCTCAACAAAATGGTGTAGCTGAACGTAAAAATAGACATCTTATTGAAACAACTCGCACACTTTTAATTCATGGAGATGTTCCTCAACATTTTTGGGGTGAGGCTCTTCTTACTGCATGTTATCTCATTAATCACATGCCTTCTTCGGTGTTAGATAATAAAATACCTCATTCCATTTTATTCCCTCATGAACCACTTCATCCTTTACCTCTGAAAATTTTCGGGTCTACATGTTTTGTTCATAATTTCAGTTCTGATCTGGACAAACTTTCTCCTAGATCACATAAATGTATTTTCTTAGGGTTTACAATATCACAAAAAGGATACAAATGTTTTTCTCCTTCTCTTAACCGTTATTTTGTGTCAAAAGATGTCACCTTTGATAAGTTGTCTCTTTATTTTAAAAGTCAAACTTCACCTGTCTCCATCCAATCTTGTCAACACTCCTAATACATTTAATGTTCTTTTTCATGCTCAGTTAGGTCATCCAAGTCTTGCCAAGTTACAGAAACTTGTCTCTGCCTTGTCTAACTTATCTAGTTTGGCGTGTGAGTCATGTCAATTAGGCAAACATAGTCGTACTTCCTTTCCTCGTAGTTTCACACGTGGTGCTTCGTCCCCTTTTGCCGTGGTTCACTCTGACATTTGGGGACCTAGCCGCGTTAAGTCTACTTTAGGTTTTCAATACTTTGTTACTTTCATTGATGATTATTCCAGATGCACTTGGTTATTTTTGATGAAAAATCGTTCTGAATTATTTCATATCTTTCAAACATTTTTTAATGAAATTCAAACTCAGTTCGGTGTTTCTATTAGAGTTTTGCGTAGTGATAATGGTCGTGAATATCTTTCTCATTCTTTTAAACAATTCATGGCTTCTCACGGTATTTTGCATCAAACTTCTTGTGCTTATACACCTCAACAAAATGGTGTAGCTGAACGTAAAAATAGACATCTTATTGAAACAACTCGCACACTTTTAATTCATGGAGATGTTCCTCAACATTTTTGGGGTGATGCTCTTCTTACTGCATGTTATCTCATTAATCACATGCCTTCTTCGGTGTTAGATAATAAAATACCTCATTCCATTTTATTCCCTCATGAACCACTTCATCCTTTACCTCTGAAAGTTTTCGGGTCTACATGTTTTGTTCATAATTTCAGTTCTGATCTGGACAAACTTTCTTCTAGATCACATAAATGTGTTTTCTTAGGGTTTACAATATCACAAAAAGGATACAAATGTTTTTCTCCTTCTCTTAACCGTTATTTTGTGTCAAAAGATGTCACCTTTGATAAGTTGTCTCTTTATTTTAAAAGTCAAACTTCACCTGTCTCCATCCAATCTTGTCAACACTCCTAATACATTTAATGTTCTTGTTGTTTGTGACAACCACCATTAGTGTTCACCATTAGTTCCTACTCCGCAGTTAGCTTCTTCTCCACTGCCTCTTCAGATTTATAGTTCTCGAAACCAATCACAACCACCACCATGTGACTCTACTCAAGTGCCAACTACTCTGTTTCCTCCGGATCTAACACATGAGTCTGACCTTCCCATTGCCCTCCGAAAAGGTATTCGTTCTACACGTAATCCTTCTCCCCATTATATTGCTTTGAGTTATCATCGACTGTCATTACCTTTTTATACATGTCTTTCCTCTATTTCTTCTGTGACCATTCCAAAAACTGTCCGTGAAGCTTTAGCCCATCCTGGTTGGCGTCAGGCCATGTTAGATGAACTAAGCGCTCTTCATAATAGTGAAACTTGGGAATTGGTCCCGTTACCGTCTGGGAAATCTGTTGTTGGTTGCAGGTGGGTGTTTGCTATCAAAGTTGGACCTGATGGTACTATTGATCGCCTCAAAGCTCGTCTTGTGACCAAAGGATATACTCAAATTTTTGGGTTGGATTATGGAGATACCTTTTCCCCTGTGGCAAAGATGGCTTTTGTTCGTTTATTTATCGCCATGGCTGCTCTTCAACAATGGTCTCTTTATCAACTGGATGTTAAAAATGCTTTCCTCAATGGTGATTTGCAAGAAGAAATATATATGGAGCAACCTCCTGGGTTTATTGCTCAGGGGAGTCTTCTCGGGATGGTATGTCGTCTTCGCAAATCCCTATATGGCCTAAAACAGTCTCCTAGGGCTTGGTTTGGAAAGTTTAGCAAGGTTGTTCAACAATTTGGTATGACTCGGTATGAATAAGATCATTCTGTCTTTTATCGACACTCGAGTGCTGGATGTGTTTACTTGATAGTATATGTTGATGACATTGTTCTTACAGGTAGTGACAACCATGACATCTCTCAGTTGAAACATCTTTGTCACCATTTTCAGCCAAGAGGCAAACTTAGATATTTCTTGGGTATTGAGGTAGCACAGTCCAATGATGGTATTGTTATATCTCAGAGGAAGTATGCCATAGATATTTTGGAGGAAACTGGGTTGATGAGTTCAAAGTCTGTTGATACACCCATGGATCCCAATACTAAACTTCTACCAAATCAGGGGGAGCCTATATCTGATCCTAAGCAGTATAGAAGATTGGTTAGAAAATTGAATTATCTTACAGTTACTCGTCCTGACATTTCCTTCGCAGTCAGTGTGGTAAGTCAATTTCTTAATTCACCATGTGAAAATCATTGGAATGCAGTCATTCATATCTTGAAGTATATTAAAGGATCTCCTGGAAAAGGATTGTTATATGGTTCTAATAACCATACAAGAGTTGTTTGCTACTCAGATGCTGATTGGGCAGGATCTCCTTCGGATAGAAGATCTACATCTGGATATTGTGTCTCCATTGGTGGTAACTTTATTTCATGGAAAAGTAAGAAACAAAGTGTTGTGGCAAGATCCAGTGCAGAAGCAGAATATAGAGCTATGGCCTCAGCTTCCTGTGAACTTGTTTGGCTCAAGCAATTGCTTAGAGAGTTACAATTTGGAGAGATGTCACTCAAATGACACTTGTGTGTGACAATCAGGTTGCTCTTCATATTAGTTCTAATACTATCTTTCATGAGAGGACCAAACACATTGAGATTGACTGTCATTTTATTCGAGAAAAGATTATGTCTGGAGATATCAAGACTGAGTTTGTTAACTCAAGTAATCAGTTAGCAGATATTTTTACTAAATCTTTACGGGGTTCTAGAATTGATTATATTTGTAACAAGCTTGGCACATACGATTTGTATGCTCCAAGCTTGAGGGGAGTGTTAGATATTGTTTAGATATTATTTGATATTGTTAAAATATTGTTAGATATTAGTAACCACAATATCAAACAATATCTTCTGTTTATTCTGTTACTTTCAGTTACTCTTTTAGTTGTATCTCTCTACTATAAATAGACCACCCTATGTGTGATTTATACACAAGAAAAATTAATTCCAAACCCTATTTTCTCTATATTCAACTAAAGGTTTTAGTTGAGTAAGACACATATAAATGCTGAGTTCCCAAAACATGAAATGAGATAGCAGAACAAAAAATTGTCACCCCTCTTGAGCTAGAACGTGAATAATATACTCTTGACCACACAAAAGTCGCCTAACATCATTTAATCAAACAAGTATAATCAACTTGGGTGTCAAAACCCAACGAGAAATCAATCAAGAATAAACCCTATACGTTTATATCAGAACTATGGATAACTAACAACTAAATATCCGCCGATTATATGGATGTTCACCACTCAATGTCTTATTGTGAAATGGCAGTCATGATGAGCATCTCTCAGAGATCCATTTTCCCATAGCTTTCTCAAACTTTGAATAGTTAATCAAAGGAAAGCAGAGAAAATATTCCTAAATCCATCATTGCATTACCAGTAGCTCAACAACTAGTAGGCATCATCGGGCTGAGGTAAGTTATATGGATCAATTTGATCTTATTAGGCCCTATCGGAAACCACATTTTCAATAAAACCAATGGTTGCTTACACTACTGGAGGATTTTTTTTCCAAGCCATGGCAGTGTAAATGTACGGGCTCTCTCATAAACGAGACCTCCAACAGGGAAGTTATTAATCATCCACAAAAGACAATACTGGAATTCCCTTGCTAGAAAAGCTTGAGCACACAACTCGCATCTCATCACCTATTTTAAAGTCCCTGTTTTTATCTTCCTGCATGAGAAAACAATAAGTTAGCAAGTGAATTGGACGGTTCATGGTGCAGGCAAAAAGTTGGTTAAGCAATACTGGTGTGGGTTTTAGAAAAAAAAGGGATTTTTGAGCTTAAAAGTTAATGGTACAATGAAATAGATCAATAGTTGAGCCAAACAAAGACATCAATTTGTAAGTGTGCGAACTCGTGTGTATGAATAAATGCATCATTATGGCCACTAAAAGGACACTTTGATTAACAAATAAAAAGCCAAATGACTAGATAATATCTCCTCCACGTGAAATCATGGGAAAAGAGTATACAAAGATGGGTTCCTACCTCAAACCGGTACATTCCTCGACGTCCTCCACCCAAATCCAACACTAACCCATGGGCACGAATTTGATAAACTTTGGCAGTTAGTTTGGTTCCAAGTTCCAGATCTTTTGCAGTTACAGATGCCTTATCTTTAGGTTCCTGCTCATCCCCCTCAGGCATCTGAAGATCAGATTTTGACTCTTTCTGAATTGAAAGTTTTGTCTTCTTAACATTTGTATATGGCAAGGGTCCTGAACGAGAAGGTAGAGCATCAATAATATCTTGAAATGTACGAGATTTTGACTTGGGTGCAAAATCAATTGCATTTTGAGATTGACTAGATTTGGACTTGCGATTCAATTGGACCCCATTATCTACGGGAGGAACTTTGGAAGAAAGATTCACTCTGGAAGATTTCTCCTCTTCATCACACTCTGCAGCACTACGTATTAAAATTACTGGTACTTGGGAGGTTGGGGATTTTGCTTCACCTAACCGAAGATCACCTAAAGACAACTTAGAAGCAAAATTTTGTTGTTCCTGTGCGCTAGACACATCCCCAACTGGGGTCCAGAAGTTGGCTGTTTCTTTTGCAGATGTGACAGATCCTTCAATTACATTAGTCTTCAATCTTCCAGGACAAGGCACAGTTGCTTTAAGGGATAATTTAATGTTACCATGAACATCTTGGCCTATGCACATCAAAGAAAGTTTCTGGCCAACAGAGACAACCTCCGAAACTTGGGAAACCTAAAAATGCAGAGTTATTAAAGACAAATTATTACATAAAAATTGCTTTGCCTGTTACTGGCTAATCCAACACACGATTCTTAATGATATGCAAATAAAATAGTTCAAATCATACATACAGGTCCATGTGACAACTCAGATATGTGGAGTAGGCCCTGCTGGCCACCATTAAACTCCACAAAAGCTCCATATTCTTTTACAGTGCTGACAATACCTGTGTAGATACCTCCGACTTCAATTTGACGGCCCACAATAAAATCAATCTGACAAACAAGGTTGAACTTCAGAATTACAGCCGCCAGGAAACAATTAATATATGCATGATTTAGCATGTATATGAACAAATGAATTCAGCAGAAGAATTCAGCACAAGGCTCCCACCAAGTGGTATATGCTAACAAATATACATAATAATGATTTACAAGAAAAATAATAATTTTTAAGGAAAGTATTACTTCATGATATTATCAGTGCATCAATTCTTGATATAGGATAGAAATTACCTCACTTATCACTAAAAGAATAAAATTCCAAACAAAAACAACGATTGGATAAAAAATTAATGGTTCAACGGAATGGAAGAAGTACCTTTTCTAGTACTTTGTCCATTACAGATTGATTCTTGGCAACTATTGTAAGTGTTCCATCACCTACAGACATCCGTGCACCTGATTGTAGTACATAATAACATGTTCAGTAAATGTGTTCTGTTCCTCTAAGTACATATAATACAGCAAGCAAAATTCTGTAGAAAGCATAAAAGACAAACAAGGGACAATATTTCAATGTATAGTTTTAAGAGAATTTTTAAGTAACATTGCAACTAATGACAAAACAAGATCAAGAAGGATCAGAACTTGCAGTCCTAAAAACTGTGAACAAATGCATCCTTCTACAGTTCTACCTCAAAAAGCACACGAGGAACTAGAAGTATAAGAGAACTTCTCAACAGTACAGTCTAAATGGCAGGGGAGGTGTGAGATACTTAAAAAGTTAAATTGACCTGTTTCCTCTTCTATTTTTCTCTTTAGAGCACCCATTGGCCCAATTAGGCGACGAAGATCATCATTGTTGTACTTTAAGGTGGCTGCATCATCAATAATAAATTTCAAATTATTGGGTATCATACTTTATCAAGGAAACTTAACTTGAAAAGTTAAAAATCTTAACCTAGTCGTGGAGATGTACTGTCATTCTTGTTACGAGGTATGTTAATTTCTTGTTCCATATGATCAAGAATTTGAAGACGAGCTTTGTGCGCAGGTTCTAAACATTCACATACGATGTCCAGAGGAATTCCTGCTGGTTTTATATCCAACTGAATAGCAGTAACTCCTTTTCGAGTTCCAGCAATCTTGAAGTCTATATCACCCAGATGGTCTTCCAAGCCCTTAGAAAAATTAAAATTAATACTTTTGTACGAAATCAATAATTTTTTTTTGTGCAACATTTTTGCCAGCAATATAGGATAACTGAAACACAAAAAACCATGAAAAGCAGAGATATACATTGTAAATATTTAATATTATTAAAATAAATACTTGATAGTGAAAAGTAGGAACTAGCGTATCACAATGTAACTATATTAAATTATACATTCACAACAAATATGCAAACAAAATTCATTATTTCTTTAACATCTTTATCTTAAGTTAAAAATATCCTACATCAACATAAATTAAAAATATAGAATTGATAAAAAATATTAACACAAGTAATTATTCAAAAGGATCATTAAAAACCCTGAACAACAACTTGATGGTAAGTAGTTGATAAATTGGTAAAAAATATACATCGTAACCGAAATGGAAAGTATGTGAAATGATATAACTCTACAAGTTCTGGGATATACCAAAATATCAGTCAATATGCGATAATCTGTTATTTCGCCAGTATATGGATCAAGCTCACTAACAAGACCCACAGAAACCCCAGCAACATGTTCACGTACAGGAATGCCAGCATCCATCAAAGCCATACTACCTAAAAACAGAAAGATTCACTGTAAATTTTCTCTCTATTTTCCCATGGACATTGGCCTGTTACTTGCGGCTGATCAAATTATATTAAATTTATGCCTCTCTATTCATCTGTAGTTCTGTTTGCGCACCTGGTCACAAGTTACAACTTACATCATATATTCATTTTGACATTCTTTTTCTAATAACTTTTCTTTTATTTTAAAAGAGGGATACTTATATGTCACCATCTAAATTAATTAAAACTTTGTAGCAAGAAATATATTAAAACATATTAAATTTCTGAAGCTTATATGTGGGTTGAAAAGTGTACCTCCACATACTGTTGCCATTGACGTTGAACCATCTGAAGCCATAACTTCAGAGTTGACACGAACTGTATACGGAAAATCATCTTCCGGAGGCAAAACAGAAAGAAGAGCTTTCTCAGCAAGAGTTCCTGCAAAAGAAAAACAAAACAAAACAAAACTAAGCTAACTAGCCAATGAACTTTTGATTGGCAAAGCCAAAAATACAATTACTTGCATTATTAAGAACACTGTTTCTTTCTAGTTTCCAAAATAAATATACTTATTTGTCAGCTGTTAAACATCTTTTATATAGCTGATTATAATAAAACGAGTGGGTACAGTTTACCATCGACTTCTTTTCAGTGGGTGTTGTTCACCACCGATGTGTTTTCAGTGGGTGGGTACTATTCACCATCAACGTATTTCTGGCTAGTACTGTTTGTTGGCAACATTTTCTGGTGGGTAGTGTTCACCATCGACATTTTCTAGCAGGTATTGTTCACCATTGATGTTTCTCCAACAGGTATTGTTCACTGTTGATGATTTTCCAGCATTTACTGTTTTAACCTGATGTTTTTCCAGCATGCCTTCTGTCATTTTCTAACAAACTTGATTCATATGATACACATACTCTAACTTGAGGAAGAGTGTTAATGTCATCATTTGTCATTATTTACTTTATCAGCTCCAACAACCAACTCACTAATATGATTCTCTCAAAGGGTCTTGTGTTAATGACATTTGTAACAAGTTTGTCTTATGATGTATATGCTCCAACTTAAGGAGGGGTGTTGGAGACATGATTTGATTATGTTAGAGATATGATTTGATTATATTTAATGGAGATATGATATGATTTGATAGGGTAATATCTCACCAAATATTTCCCACCATTATAAGATATTGATTTTATTTCTTATTATTGTATCTCTTGTTCATAAGAAGACCCATGTGTACACAACACACAAGATTCATTATGTTCCATCTCAATTTCTTTCTTCTCAAGATGGTACCAAAACTAAACCATCCTCGGTGACCTATTTTGTCACTAATCATTTCAACAAATATTTTTCACACTAAACATAAATTAGAGGGATATAATAGGGGAAATCAATTCTAATTGTACACTGTCTTCAAAAGTGGCAGATAATAGTGGAGGGAGTATAGAACTTAGGGGAAAGACACAAATTTTTTTTAAGTTTTTAATTATTTAATAAACCTATCTAATTATTATAAATTTCAAATTAGTTGTCAATTCAAACCACATTTTTCTTTAAAAAAAATAAAAAATAGGTCCTAATTGGTTATGTATTGACATTTTGAAGGGAAATGTAATGAAGAGAAATTATATTGGGGAGGTTAAGCCATTTTCAAATATGGGAGATCACAATATATTTTGGATAGTATTAGTGAGTTAATCATTTACCATGACCGACTTCACGCCTGTTCAGACCACCATGTTTACCAACTTCGTTTATGCAGAAGGGTGGAAAACTATAGTGAAGCATAAATCTCTTTGTTGGAGGACCAACGACAGACTCCAAGCGTTGAGCATCTGTAGGTGCTCCAAGTGTTACTGTACATAAAACCTGTCCATGACATCAACATATGTCACTGCAGATAGAACTGAAACCACTCAGAAAATTAAAATCATTATTTCACATCATCACAATTGTCTAACTTTCAACAAACAATAACAAAAAACATGAAATATATTTTACCTGTGTTTCTCCACGGGAAAATAGTGCAGATCCATGCAACATGGATATATATCCAGCTTCACAATACAAAGGCCTTACTTCATCTAGCTGTCTTCCATCAACTCTGTTTCCTTCTGCAATAATTCTTTTACGAACCACCTATAATGATGATTATATAAACACTACTCCTCAACAAGTACATTTAAAATTAACATGACAAAGACATATAAATGAATTATAAGAAATAAATATTTAGAGATAACATCATTAATAACTCTTAATAACAGTCATCAATTTTCTTTACGTGCCAAGTGAATAATTATACAAAAAATACAAGTTTGTAAGGTATCTTCATAATAGTAAAACCAGAATAATATGGCTACAAGCTAACCCAGATAAGAGAGAACGGAAGATACTTTACTGAGTACAAATAAAATCTTACTTCTACATTCATTTTCAAGTTTATCACTAAATATTTTATGTCAAAAGCATCTTTTTATTTGTTGGAAACTTTAGAAGATGATGTTAGACCAATATCCCACTGGAAGAGATATGGAATTAGATAAGTTTTTTGTTCATTTCTATTTACCCAAACAACATCCCAAGTGAGTTTCCTTCGATATTTGTTCCCTAATTTTATATAAAATGGTACAACTTCAGAGTGATTAATTAAGGATAGGACATTCTTCCTGACTGAAAAAAAAATAATAATAAGCATACTAGTCCTATATTTGTAATAAACTTATCACAGTGCTCCATACCTTCTTCCTAACTGTATCTACAACCTTCGACAAGACTTTTAAGCTTTCTTCATCACCTTCTTCTATAAGAACTCTCTTCACATCTTGCGTAATATTCTCTAATGCCTCCCCACGTTCAAACTGGAAGAAATTAAATAATAGATAATCGAAAAGTAAAATGAGGGAGCAAAAACATAACATAAAACAAGAAAACAAAAAAGGAAGAATAGAACACCTTTCCGTAAGTAGGATCAGTAAAAACAGCTTTGATAGGTGCCTCTGCTAAATTAGTAACTTTCTCCATTGTTTTGTCAGATAGCATAGACAATTTGTATTCCTTCTTAGATTTACCAGCTTTAGCAGCAAGTCTGATTTGAGGTTCAATATACTTAACTGCCTGAACAATGACCCATGTCAATAACATTCAATTACCAAAAGAATAAACCAAGTAACAAATTTGAAAGTCACCTCCGAATGAGCCATTCTTAACCCAGCTTCTAAGTCTTTCTCAGATATCTCTCGTGCTTGCACATCAATCATCAAAGTTTTATCCTTTGTACAGGCATACACCAAGTTAAGATCACTCATTTTAAGCTGCAACACCACAATTAGAAGCAATAAGAGAACAGAAAAGAATGCAATTCAACCAGCCAAGTATTGTCATTAACAAAGTCAAAATCTAACTAAGCTACAAAATCAAGTTCCAACAGTAAAAATAACACAGAATCACTTTAAACAACGTAGTTTATTCAAAATTACCTCATCCATGGTAGGATTTACTATAAACTGCCCACATATTCTACCAATTCGAACCATTCCAATGGGACCGCCCCAAGGAATATCTGATAACATAAGAGCAGCCGAAGTTGCATTAGCTGCCAACACATCTGGATCTTGTTTTCCATCAGAAGAAAGAACACTTGCCGTTACCTAAGAGTGAGATATTCCTTTTTTTATTAGGAAAAAAACTATTAAAAAATAAAGTTAAACAAAAAAGTAAAGAATTTCTGATTGCACCCACTAACACACAATTGCACATTGCCCTGTGTAGTAAGTTCATTGTTTTTTATATAAACTGCAAATGATTTCTGATTGGTTCACCATGTAAAAATTTGTACAACGACAGTACATAAAAATTCAACTAAAAATAAAATAAATAAATTGTCTAGTAAGCTTTTACAAGATCATTCAATCAAATCAACATGAACAATATGTCAGTTGACTTTTACAATAAATATTTTAAAAGTGATACCTATCATAATTTCTAGTGTACAAAACAGTTTGGCTCACTGAAAGTGTATAACAATACCACATTAGTCCCTGAAGAAAGAAATTAAAAAAAAAAAGAAAAAGTATTTGATAATGCAAAGTATCAAACACTTTAGTCTAAAATTCAAAAAGTCGTATGGCAATTATGGATATGTTTGGGTAAATTTCTTCATGATTGCTTTTGAGAGAGAATAAGAAAGAAAAAATGGAAAGCGCTTTCCCATAAACTAAAATGAATATATGCATAAGTTAATTTGTAAACATTATTACATATTTGCTTCTTTAAAATATGATTTTCAACTCATGCATAAGTTAATATTAGCTTATAGTGTTTATGGAGAAGTTTTCCCAAACAGACCCTACATTAACAAATTTGTAAATATCGAAGTAGCCAAAATTGATTTAGTTAAGGAACTTATTTTTTTAGTAACCATTTTATTGATAATATGTATCCACTCTTCACTGAATGAATAATCTTTGTTAGGAAATCTTCCTAATCAGGTTTACTGGAGCTCTCCTCCCAACCACATATGCTCCCTTTGTAAGACTCGAACCTAAGATCTTACTCAAGCAATCTGAATCCAGTTCACGCGTTGGTTTAGGAACTTGTTTTACATCCTATGAACTTTATTTTAGTTTTTCAATGACAAAAGGGACAACATTCTACACTAACCAAAATGGTGTTTTACCATAATCTATAATTAGTTGATAGCACAAAACCTACCTTAAAAGCTAAACTTAGTCTTGATTTGTATTTGGTTGATATTGTAAAAATCCTTCACATTGTGCACGCATAAAAATTAAGCACACGAAAGAGGATGTAAAGTAAAATGATAGCAACATTACGCACCTGAACCTCGTGGTAAAATCCAGTTGGAAACAACGGTCGAATTGGCCTGTCAATGATTCGACCACACAACAGCTCACGCTCTTTCGGGGCACCTTCCCTCCGCATGAACGACGTCGGAATCAAGCCTTGCGCGAACTGTTTCTCTTGATAATCCACCTGTTATCATGAGCGACATCTCGTCATTTTCATCGCGCCGTTTAACGGAATAGTACATAAGCCACAGAGTAGCAGAGGCACTTACAGTGAGAGGTAAGAAATCGCGAACGGCGTCGCCTTTGGCGGAGGTGACGGTGGAGAGGACAGTGGTGTTGTCCATAGCCAAAACGACGGCGCCGTTTGCGAAGCGCGCGATTTTACCGGTCTCGAGCGTGATCACGCGCGAGCCGATTTCGAATTGCTCCGTGAAGGTGTCGAGGTGTTTGCTGCTGCTGCTGGTCGTGGAGGTGGCGCCGGCGAAGCCGAGGCGGCCGGAACAAATGGCGCGGAAGCGGAAGGCGCGCCATGTGAGGAAGTGCGGTAGTGTGCGGAGGAGTGGGTTCGCCCTCCTCATTTGGAAATGGTGATGGGAAAGAAGGAACGCAGGTTGTACTCCAACACTAGTTACAACATTAACTTGTTTGAGAGGAAAGCAGGGTTTAGGGTTTAGCAATTAAATATAAATATGAATATTTATATATATAGTTTTTTTATCATATGCTAAATAAGTAAATTATTGAGATTCATATTTATCAATAAATTTAGTCAAGAATATTAAATTTGTATGTATGTAAGTCGGTAATATTTTTAAAAAATTATCTTTAGGTAATTAATACATGAAAATAAAAAATAGCGGTTAAATTTTATTTTTTAAAACTAAAGTCTTATTAAATCTTTTGATCTTAGAAAGAAAAAAAAACATCATTCATAACATTATTTGTGAACTAAACTAATTAAGGATATTCTATCGAAAAAATTATTCACAAAAAGAATATTAAAATATCTCTAAACTGAATTTTTAGAAAAAATTATTTAAAAATAAAAATAAATATTTATTATAAATTTAAATAAATAAATTATTTTAAATTTGATCAAAATTGTTTAAATAAAAAAATTAATTTTAAATAATTCAAATATAAAATTAATAATAAAATAATTATTTTTATTATTAAATAATTCTTATTAGCAACTCATTTTGACATGAATAAAATAGAGTTAATACAAATTTTCTCTACCGACCTCTTTAATTAATTTATAGCATAATTGAAAAATATGAAATTCATATAGATATCATATTTTTTTAATATTTTACTTTTACAAATCAGGACTAAATAAAATAAGTTCTGATTATGCACTATTTTTTACAATTATATAAACCTATAATTTAGTTAATCAAATATCTTCATTTCAACCCTCCCCTCAAGTTGGTAAATGGATGTCATATATTCCCAACTTGTCAAATAATCTCCTAAAAATTTGACTTGTCACAGCTTTTGTAAGAATGTCTGTCTGTTAATATTCATATTGAATATTTGGCAATTCCAAAATATTTTTATCAAGTTTTTCCTTGATGAAAAATCCATCAACCTCCACATGTTTCATCCGATCATGTTGGGCAGGGTTGTGAGCAATGTCATGCGCAACTTTATTATCATAATACAACTAAATGAAATGTATATGTACATACCTTAAATCCTGGAGAAGTAGTCTGAGCCACAAACCTTCACAAAGTCCAAGAACTATTCCTCTAAGTTCAACTTCTACACTGGATCTAGCTACAACTTTCTGCTTCTTGCTTTTCTATGTGACAAGATTACCTTCTACAAATGTAAAGTATCTAGAGATTGATCTTCTATCATTAAGAGCACCTACCCAATTTATATCAATATAAATCATCACATCCTTGTAGTTGGAGTTTTTCTTGAACATAACTCATTTTTCAAGAGCGGCTTTTATGTACCTTAAAATTCGTATAACAGCATCCATATGTGTTTTCACGTGGATTGTGTATGAACTGACTAACCACACTAAGAGCATAGGCTAAATCTGTAATGGTGTGTGAGAGATACATTAATCTCTCTACAAGTCTCTGATATCTTCCCTTGTTAGTTGGAGTTGGATCTTCTTTAATGCATAACTCCAATCCCCCTTCAATTGGAGAATTTGTTGGTTTGCATGTTGTTATTCCAGTTTTTTTCAGTAAATCCAATGCATACTTTCACTGTGAGAGAAAAATACTTGACTTTGATCTTGAAACCTCAATTCCAAAAAAGTACCTTAAAGGACTAAGATCCTTCATCTCGAATTCCTTTGTCAAGTACTTTTTCAATGTCTTGCATTCCTCTAGATCGTCTCCCGTAACTATCATGTTATCAACATAGACAATAAGAATTATAATATTTCCTTCCTTTTTCTTTAGAAACAATGTATGATCTTGGTTGCTTTGTTGATATCCAAAAGCAAGCATTGACTTGGTGAATCTACCAAATCATGCTCGCAGCGATTGCTTTAGTCCATACAATGACTTCTTCAACTTGCATACTTTCTTGCTATGTGTATCCGGGATCCTACATCTTTCTGGTAACTCCATATAAACTTTTTCATACAATTTCCCGTGTAAGAAGGCATTTTTTTATGTCAAATTGTTGTAAGGACCAATCAAGGTTTACAACTAGAGATAACAATACTCGAACTGTGTTAATTTTGGCTACGGGAGCAAACGTTTTAGCGTAATCGATTCCATATGCTTGTGTATACCCCTTTGCCACTAATCTAGCTTTGAATCTTTCAATTGTGTCATCTATATTAAATTTCATAGTATACATCCATCGATACTCTACTGGTTTCTTTCCATCTAGACAATCTATTAATTCTCATGTTTTATTTCTTTGCAAGGACCTCATTTCCTCATTCACAGCATCCTTCCACCTGGAGTCAGCTAAAACTTCTTGTACACTGTTAAGAATAGATACAATAGATAATTGACTTATAAATGCGATATTTGAGTTAGACAAATTCTGGTTACAAATATAATTACTCATAAGGTATCTTACTGGTGAGGTCAGAATCATAAGTAGGCTTAAGGATACCTCTAGTGACACGATCTGACATAATTCTTCTTCTTGAAGGACGATTAGTGTGGTATATCATTAGTATCAATAGATAAACTTTCGATCTCGATATGCTCAAATTCTTCCTCATTATGTGGGTTTTTATTATCATATTATTGTACATTTTCATCATCTCATGATACAACTTTGTAACTTCATTTCTCCAGTCTGACCTCATTATCAATTTCTTGAGGAACAAAAGTATGAACTTCATCAATTCTCCCCCTGAATTTCAGACTTAGGGGAAAAATATATCAAGGTCTCATGAAAAATTACATCTATAGTAGTTAACATTTGCTTGGTTTGTGGATTGTAGTACCAGTATCCTTTTTGGTGATCCGCATAGCCAAGGAACACACCTTTCAGCTTTAGGAGACAACTTACTTCTCTGATGCTTGTGTAAGTGAACATAAACAACACAACCAAAATCTCGATGAGTTAGTTGAGCAATTGTAAGACTTACTACTGCATTTGTAAGTGATTGAAGATGTGTTTTATACTCAAGAGACCTGGACGGTATTCAGTTGATAGTGTATATTGCATATGCGAGAACTTCTCCCTAATATATTACTGGCATGTGAGCTCCAATCAGTGCAGCTCGGACCACCTCCAATAGATGATGATTTTTTCGTTCTACCACCAAATTCTGTTGTGGAGTATTTGGACAAGATATCTGATGAACAATTCCTTTGGCTACTAAAAATTGTTGAAGTTCTGATTGCATATATTCTCCTCTGTTGTCACTGCGCAATACCTGAACTTGTGTTTTGTACTGAGTCTCAATCATTTTGCAGAATTTCTGAAATAGTCCTCTAAATTCACTTTCAGATTTCATCAAACATAATCAAGTCATTCGAATACAATCATCAATAAACGTTACAAATCACATTGAGTCATCCAACGTTGTAACCTTATATGGACCCCATACATCAGAGTGAATTATCATAAAAGGAAGATAACTTTTATTTGAAATAAAAGAAAAATATGCTTTGTGACTCTTTGCAAACTCACAAACATCACAATACAAAGTTGAAGTGTCTACTTGGTCAAATACACTTGGAAATAATTTCTTTATATAACCAAAAGATATACGCTTATGCCATAACCAAATATTTTCGCATTTTCTCACTTCTTGAGACCCTTTTGTTGCTAGTACTTGACCAAGTCTCTTTAAATCTTTTTCTGTCAGGTCCAGGTTTAAATGTCATGCCACAACCAATCGTTTTCCTCGTTTAAATGCCCTTAAAAAGAGTTAGGCCCAAAAATTACAACATATAAAAGAGTTTTGGTTATTTGTGAGGCTGACAATAAGTTATATTTAAGAGAAGGAACAATACGGATAATAAAGATTCAAATTATTTGAAATAGAGACAGTTTCTTCTCCAATGATAGTGAATTTACTACAATTGGCTGTGAAAATACTTTTTTATGAGGAAGGTTTAAGATTTTTAATCTATCTAACATCAAAAGTTACACGATTAGAACACGCAAAGTCAATTATCCATGCATCTTTAATCTTTCAATGAACTTCTGATATGACTTCATATCATCAGGGTCCTTCATGACTACTTTGTCACGATGATCTAATTCCCTACAAATCTCAACTAACTCCTCATAGTATTCAGTTAGAGTTCTATTATTTTGTTTTACAGTGAATGCCCTTTGATTTAGGACAAACACTTGTAGCTCATCACTTCCATTATAAAACGTCTTTGACAAAGCATTCCAAATATCCAGGGCAGTGGGTAAGCGAAAATATCTTTCCATGATTTTTGGTTTCATTGACATTAGTAGTCATCTTTTCACTTTTTGGTTTTCAATATATCATTTTTCATATCCCTTTATCTTTCTCTGTTGGAGGCTTCACCTTCCCACGGATATAGGATAAATTTGTCCTCCTTGCAATATGCATCTCCATTAGTTGTGACCATACATCATTTAGGATTATACCTACGTTGAAGACACCTTCAAATTGAACTATCACTAGAATTGGTTTTTCTGTCATCTCTCCAGTTAAGATCTCAAAGGATTTAGAAAAAAAAAAAGACTCCAAGCTCTGGTACAAAATTGAAAAATATAGAATTCATTTTATAATTTTATTCATATATCTTTTGGATACAGATACTATGTTCTTATAATATTTTACTCTTACAAATCAGGACTAAATAAATTAAGTTCTAATTATGCACTACTTTGTACAACTATATACAAACCTATAATTTAGCTAATTAAATATTTTATCTAAAGATTCGAGTAAAAGTAGAGTTAATAAAATATTTCTCTAAAGCTAAATTTATCTGTCCTTAGAAAAAGCCACAAAAAGCAAGACCTTGGGAAAAACGTTGAGGTAAACCGGTCGTAGCTTGTACAACAAGTTGTAAGCATGGCAACGGGGCGGGCGAGTTTTGCTTTCCGATCCCGCCCGACTTTTTAACCCTCCCGCTTCAGATTTTCGTCGGGGTTAGAAATTAATTCTTCATCCCCGTCTCCTCCCGATTCCACGGGGTTAGAAATTAATTCTTCATCCCCGTCTCCGCTAGGTTTCAGGTTTCTCAGTCTCGCCTCGTTCTCGATTTATATTATTTTCAAAAAGATAATTATATTTATAATAAATTAATTTTACTATGTATTTTTTATATATAAATAAATATTTATAATTTTATAATTATTATTAATTAAATATATTTTTTAATTTATTATATTTATATTAAAATATATATGTAAAAAAATATTTAATCATTATATATATATATATATAATATTTATAATATTATTATAACACTATATTCAATGTTTATATTATTATTATTATTATTATTATTATTATTATAATAATATTGTATTTAAACATTTGATTAGATATATAAGTTAATTTATTTTTAAATTATTATTTAAAAATATATAATATATAGTTTATAAAGAAATATTTAATAAATTAATTCTTATTTAATTAGTAAGTTTAAATTATTAATTCTTTTTAATGCTTTAAAATACAATTATTTTATTAAGATAAAATTTAATATATGATAAATAAAAATAATAAAATTAAAAAAATGACATAATAAAATTTAATAAATATAAATTATAAATAAAATAATATTATTTATTAATAAGATTTATATAAAATATTTAAAAAAGAATAAAAAATAAAAAAAAATTAACTTTTTAAATTAGTTAAAAAGATTAAAAAAAAGATAAATTAATTGGAGAAATTTAAAAAAAATAAAAAAAATAAAAAATATAATAAATTAATTAATATAAAATATTAAAAAATTAAAAGTAAATAAAAAAATAAAATAAAAAATATATTTTATATATAATAAAAAAATAAATATTTTTAAAATATTAATATTTTAAAATTTAAATTTAAATATTGGATTACATCTTGCCTACCTTTTTGAAAGTGGAAAAAATTCGCTCCCGGTATTATTTCCCCCATTAAACTCGTGCAAGAACGGCGTCGGTCCCTCGGTTTAATTGCCATCCCTGTGAAATCACCGTAAGCCCCGTAGACTCAGTGAGTCACGACAACTACACTGCACAAGCGGATGCAAAGGCCAGCAGCGCTTCGGTTAAGTGCCTCCATCACCATGCTCTCTTCAACCTCTCTTGGAAACCCTAGCTTCCTCTTTCCTTCAACTCCAACAACCCTCTTCCAAGCTCGCGTTCTTCGCTCCTACACCGTCTCCTTCTCCAATCGCCTCTCCCTCCGATGCTACGCCGCGCGCGCTGCCTTCGACCGACTTTCGGTTCTCAATCCCATCGTCGAAATGGACGGTAATTTCTTCCTACTCCTACTGATGCAGCTCTAGCATTGAATTGTTCTGTTTCGTCACGGTTCCATTGGTTTTCTTTGCTGCTTAGGTGATGAAATGACCAGGATTATTTGGAGGATGATCAAGGATAAAGTATGCACGACTCCGTTTCTCAGTGTTTGTTTGTTTATTTATTTTAGATAAAGGACGAACAAAATGCATGCAGATGCAATTGCTTTAAGTGCTTCTGATATTGTTCTTCGATTAGATTGGAGTTTCACATTGACATTCCGCATCATAGAGGTTTGAATCAAAAGTTAGCGTAGATCACCGATATGACAGTCTAATTCTGACCAAAAAAATAACACCTAGGAATTGCATAGTAGTTTTATCTATTATTTAGTATCGAGACAAACTTAAGTCTCAAGTTTACTAAAATTAGGGTCCTGAAAGAGTATGTATGTGAGGACAACTCTTACCATAATTCAGTTTTATGTGGTTGAGTTTGACTTAAATTCAAATTATGAGATGATATGGGTTTATGCTAGATCAATTAAGAGAGATATCTGTCTACCATCTTATTCATGCACGAAGTCCAATAGTATTTTGTGTGAGGGAGTGTATTGGAAAAAAAATTAAGTCTTACATTGACAAGAGATCAAGTCTGATAAGCATATGTAAGTGAGACAACCTTCACCTCAAGCAAATTTTGTAAGGTTGGCTTAAATTTGAACCCACTTTCTAATACGGTATAAAACCTGTTCCGCAGTCATATTATCTTCCTATCAAACTAAATAGTGTTGGGCATAAAACGGTGTATTGAGAAACATCCAAGTCCCACACTAGAGATAGTGCCAAAAGAAAGTATATAATTGAAGGGAAATCCTAACCTTACAAGTCTATTTGTGGAGTTAAGTTGGACCCAAACCCAAACTCTAAGAATTAATAACTATAATTGTAGCTACTGGTCAATTTAATCACCCCACATTACAATACTAAGGACGAAGATGACCGGTGAGTAAATTTAGGGACTAGTTTTTAGGGTACTGCTATTATTAATTGGTGGTTTTGGATTTGTTTTTAATATGGACAAGTGGTTTTGTGAACTGCAGCTTATACTTCCTTACCTGGATTTAAACATAAAGTATTTTGATCTGGGAATTCAGAATCGTGATGCTACTGATGACAAAGTTACCGTGGAAAGTGCTGAAGCCACTCTCAAGTGAGTATTTTTTTATCAACATAAGTGGCATAAAGCATGCATTACACTTAATTTATATTTTATTCCTGTTGCTGAGAATAGTGGATATTGGCAAAGTTAGGTGTCTTAAAATGGAGTTGTAAAGACAATTAGAGTTTACACTAGTATGTAAAGTTCTGGATATGGTGAGAATTTTAAAGCCAGCAGTACTTATTTAGGTCCTGTTTGGGATGGTATGTAGTTGTAGGTATCAACATTTTAAAAATCTACAACCAGTTTTAAAAACTTGCAACCATTACGAAAGGGACCTTAGTTTCAGAAAAAAAAAATGCTTTAAACATAAAACAACCACTTGCTGGGAGTCTGGGAGAAAGTTGATAGGGGGAAGCTGTTTGTGTTTCTTATTTGATTTTCCATCAGGATGCTCGAAGTCTGAGTACATGTTCAGATAATTTGTTTAGGGTCCCTGATAAGCTTCGTGCTGGTCTTTCTTATTCAGCAGTGTTTTATTGGTTAGATTTAAAAGTTGTTTTACCACTTATAAAAAGGAGGCAAAGATTTTTTGGCAATGACATTGTACTGTTCATGCAATCCTTTGGTACATTTGGTTGGAGTTGAGCAGTTGCATATTTAAGGGGGTTTCACTACCCTTTACACACTTACATCAGTGTAGGCTTATATTTTTGGCCTCTTAGTGGTGTTCTGCCAGTATCTGTTTTGAGGAACCTTTCATTAGTTGCAGACTTGTATACAGTTGCACTGCCTTTCTTATTTTATTTTCATCCTGCTTTATTGTCTTCCTGACGTTGCTTTTTGTCTGTCATTATCTCTCTTCTAATAAAAGTATATTTTATCAACTAATTTCTGAACCCACTTTTCCCATTCATTAACTGATGCTGCTGTTTTCTGCAGGTACAACGTCGCTGTGAAATGTGCAACAGTAACTCCTGGTTTGTTGAATTTGTCCTTTTAGCTGAGTATTCTATGTCATGATTCATGAATTACTAGACCACTTTGTTCCATACTCACAAGTTTTGCAAGATTTAATGTACTGGTTTATTCATTTTACCTAGTGTATGTCAAGTGGATACTAGTGCATAACTTTTATTCATTTATCATTTTTGAGCAAAAATGATATTATGTTAGCTCTTCTTAATTTTCAGACGAGGCCCGAGTCAAAGAATTTGGACTGAAGTCTATGTGGAGAAGCCCCAATGGCACAATCAGGAATATTTTAAATGGTTTGTAATAAGTTCATCATGTTTTATAAGACATCAGATTCAATGTTGTATTGACTTTACTGCAAGGATGACCTTTCCCCCCCGCATGTTTCCTTCTTTTGTGAATGGAACTTAGATGACCATGTATATAGGATATTAGTTTGCCCAGAAAAATAGTCTTTTTTGTTTAATGAAATGCATTATACTGATGGAAATTTCACATTTGATTGCTTCTTTTGATAACATGCAAGTAAATGTTAAATTTATCTTACCATTTATATATATATATATATATATATATAGATGTAATTATTCATGCATTTTGATATTTATGTTTATTCTGACATAGTCTTTAGCTTGTATTTGTTTTCTGTCTATCATCTAGAAGCACATCTATATTTTGTGTAGTTCATTTATTATCTCTGAATGTGACCGTATTGTTGCTTGTCTTGTCGGATGAACTGAAATTTGTCATGAATTTCCCAGTGTGGGCAAGCATCTTCACATTGGTGATATTCCTATATTATTGAGAATATGATGCTGTAAATGATTTTTTTTTTTTTCTGTTTCTCTTTGTATCAATTTTCCTCACTACAAATATTTTGCTATTGGTTGTGCACTTGCTAAAATCAATATTATAGGTTCATACTGTCACTTTTTTATTTCCAAAAGAGTGAAATCCTTAAAGATCAGGTCAGGTTCTTGACTTGTGTGATGGCTTACAAGTATAAATCTCTTAAAATTCATTTTAATTGCATCTTGTATGCAATATGCGAATCCTAGCAATCAAAGTGTTTTATTTGAAATAACTTGATAAGAAATGTTCTGAGTCCAAGTTAATTAAGCTTGGTTCTTTGTTGACAATATTACCTAATTTTTCTAAGCTTCTTCAACTTTTTCTTTAATATATTTTCCTTTCTTTCTAGGCACTGTTTTCCGTGAACCCATAATATGTCGCAATATACCAAGAATCATTCCTGGTAATGTGTTAACGCTAGTGTGATCTTTAATAGAGTTGAAATACTGCAAAACACCATTTATAACTTATTCTCCCGTTTACAGGATGGAAGAAACCCATATGTATCGGTAGGCATGCTTTTGGTGACCAGTATCGTGCCAATGATGCAATAATTACAGGGCCAGGGAAGCTTAAATTGGTATTTGGTACGATAATTTCCAAAGCCTTGCATTTAATGAGTTGAAAATTTGTCTAATTTTATTATTTAGAATGTCACATGTTGCTTACAAGCTTGTGTCATAATTTAGTCCCAGAAAATGGTGATGCTACAGCAGAGCTCGATGTTTACGATTTCAAAGGCCCCGGTGTAGCACTTGCTATGTATAATGTTGATGAGGTTTGCTTCATATTATATTTTCAGTGTGTATTAAGTAATATGTTTTAAAGAAGTTGCATTTGTTATTTTGCTTGCATTTCAACATAGCTTTCTTAATGTGGCAGTCTATTCGAGCATTTGCTGAATCATCAATGGCACTGGCTTTTGCGAAGAAATGGCCTCTTTACTTAAGCACCAAAAACACAATTCTAAAGAAATATGATGGCAGGTGATTGTTATTATCTTATATATCTCTAGGTTTGTATGTATATATTTTTTTTAGCTACTTACCCTAACTATCAGCAGGAAATTAGAAATTAGAACAGACTTTTACAGTTCTGTTGACAACTGTATCAACAGATGGTTAGTAGTTTGGCAGTGGACAATACAAAGAATGGACGGGAGACAATAGCGGGAAGGTTAAAGAGTTGACTACTTATCAAGAGTTTACCACTGTATCAACAGTTAGTTAGTAGTTAGGCAGTGGGCAATATTAAGAATAGAAGGGAGTCAATAGCGGGGAGGTTAAAGAGTTTGAGTCAGGATTGGGAGGGGAGAACCAGGACTCTCAAATTTCCAAGGACTTGTGAGATATTAAGTTCTGTACTATTTCTTCCCTCTGTATTCTTGCAATTACCAATGGTTCAGATTTAGGTATAAGAGTGATATCCAATAAAACTTTCTACTATCTTTTTATCTTTATTTTCTTTTTTTTTAGTCTTGAAGTGTCACCTTTGGTATGATAAACTTCTTTGTAATTCAGTCAACCTTTCATTTTGTTTGTTGTTATTGGAGGTGATTTACAGCTTGAAATTATTACAGGTTTAAGGACATATTCCAGGAGGTGTATGAAGAAAGGTGGAAGCTAAAGTTTGAAGAGCACTCAATATGGTTTGTTTTGATATTTATGAACTTATTTATTTGCGATGATGCATTACATATACATATAGATGGTTGACACTTTTAAGCGACTTCAGGTATGAGCACAGGCTAATTGATGACATGGTGGCATATGCAGTCAAGAGTGATGGTGGATATGTTTGGGCTTGCAAGAATTATGATGGTGATGTCCAAAGTGATTTACTTGCCCAAGGTAATATAGACTGTGGAGAGTCTAACTTTTATCTCTGAAGTGGCAACTTGTTAAGTACGTATGATGTCAACAAGCAGTAATTGGTTGATTAGCCAGACCTTCCTTACGTTTCTGATTGTCCCGAAGTGTTTAAGTTTCACCAGTACTAAAAAGCTTTATATCCTAGTCCACCAGTCCTGGTCACTTGGCTCAACTAGTGTAAAGATCATGGCATTTGAAATTGGAGTCATACAAGCTATGGGAGCTCTATTTTTTTTATTTTTTATCAAAAGATTAGGACCCTAAATGGGAGTTGATAACATCATAATTTACATTTGCTTTTTTGAGTGGATCTTCTAATTATTGCCAATGCTAGCTCATTTTATTGTATAAACTAAACTTTCCTAAAGGCATAATTATGAAAATTTTGGTTATTACTGATTTGCTAAACCTTTATAATCATGCACGAGCAAATGGCCTTAAGGAAGAAAAGTAAGCATTTCCCAAAAGTTGTTTTAAAATGCCTCGTTTTGTAAACAGGCAGCAGATTCTTGGTTTATATTTACCTAATCCTGTGAATATTTATTTGTTCTGATTTGGTTGTTAATGTCATTTTTATTAATGTCTTATGGAATGCATAAGGGAGAATTTGAAGATTCAGGAATGTAATTCATGTGAATATTTCTAATATACTAGTGTTATCTTTTAAATCATGTTTCTTAAATTCTCGTGTGCAGGATTTGGCTCATTGGGTCTCATGACTTCTGTGCTGGTGTGTATTAGAATATTACATTTCAGCATTTTTTTTCATCAACATTGCTATCTCTATTTTGGTGATTTGACATCATACTCTATTTTACAATCAAAATTTTGAAGTTATCTGCTGATGGCAAGACATTAGAAGCTGAGGCATCTCATGGAACTGTAACTCGACATTTCCGGCTTCATCAAAAGGGACAAGAAACTAGTACTAACAGTATTGCTTCCATATATGCATGGACACGAGGACTGGAACATAGGTACTTTTTTGCTTGATGCAAGCAGCAAATTCTAGTGCATTGTGATATATGATGGAATTTTGGCCTCAGGCCGAATTCTGGCATCGATAACACTTCTTTGGAAGTTTTTCTTGGTTAATCATTTCTATTTATAAGTCATCATCTCAGTTGTGAGATTGTTTCTGTGCTAACTTGGATGCCATTTCAAAAGTGACTTAAACTTGGGAATTTTTATAGATTAGGACTATTGGGTGTTCTTATATGTGTTAGACAGTGAAAGGCTGGGAGAACTGATACTTTTATGCTGGTTCTAAAAGTCTGGGATGAGGATTGAACCTATTATCTAGTAAAACCAGAGCAATTTGTCAAAGAAAAGGAAAGGAAAGGAAGCCATCCTTTATGGTTTGTTTGGTAGAGAGGAGGGGGAGGGAAAGAGTAAATTTTGTTTGTTTGGTTGAGGAAGAATATGAAAAAAAAAAAATAGTGAGACCCACTTTATTATTTCTCATCTACTATTTTTCTAACAAATTAATCAAATTACATGGCCTTCAAAACACTTGCTCACTGTTTTTCACCTATTTCGACTGTACCAAACAACTAAATATTCAATTTTATTTCTTACCTATTTCTCTTTTCTAAACTTATTTCTTCTCTATTTTCATCCTTTCTATTTATTTCCTCAAATCCAAACACCACATTAGGGAGGCACCATTCAGGTAGAGGGGTGGTTTCACTCACCTATTTTCCTGAAGTCACCTGTGGGCGTCCTTTCGATCATGACTTTCCTACCTGAGATGGGAAGGTATCTCTTAATATTTACTGGTTTTAAAGGCAAAGAGCCCAATTTATTCCATACCGCGGTTCATAGGTCCAATGGTCAGACTTCCATCAGAAAACAAAATGTTTCTCTTGATACTCCCCATTTAAGATGTACTAATTTGTGTAATTTTGGTCAATGAACTCATTTTGAATTATCTGCAAGGGGCATGCATGCGGTGATGTTCGTGCATATACTGATCTACAGTTTTTCCACTTACGGTGCCCCTTCCCCATTCTCTTTTTTCTCTGAATCTGTTGTTGACATGACTGTTATTGTTTACTAGAGCCAAGCTGGATAATAATGAAAAATTACGGGAATTTACTCAAAAATTGGAAGCTGCATGTGTTGAGACAGTGGAATCGGGAAAGATGACTAAAGATCTGGCAATTCTGGTTCATGGACCCAAGTAAGTGAATCTCTTGCTTCCCGCTGCTTACTCTTATTTGAATAATTTAGTATCACAAATATCTTTGAAAATTTTGTATTGCAATTTGTAGCCAAGCATCCTTATTCTTGTCCTTCTACTTTGAAGCATCTCCTTTTCAGAATTTATTAGGCTAAATTGTAATTGTGATTCCTTTTCTACAAGTTAATCTATGATAAGATTTATTAGTGGAAATGAACTAAAAATTCAAAACATGAATTTGATTCTTAAAATATTGTAAAACTCATTAATTTAATAAATACTATTTTGATTATAGTATGTTACCTGACACTTTTTATTTTATGTTTATATTTTACAAACAATTAACCAAGGTACTCACAGGACCACTTATATATTTAGTGATATTTTTGTTTTTTCTTCTTCTCTATGACAGCTCACTTTTTTATCTTTTGGTAATTACAAATCTATAATCTTAATTAGATATTTACAACAATTAAATTTATTTGTAAGAATAAATGGTTTCACCGTTAAAAAATTTATTTTACAATTAATGGGGGCCAGATTGCAATTTATCTAATTTATATTAGTTAATGAAACATTTGGATCTTGGAGAAAATCTATTGAAACTTTATGAAGCAATATTTGTTTGTTTGTTTGTTAAAACCTGTTTATTTCTTAAGCCACATTTGATGCCAATTTATACTAATAGTGTAAATAAGTTAAACTGGTTTGCGTCATCATATTATTGTTCGACACTTGAGCATGCATCATGTGCAGGGTATCAAGGGAATTTTACTTGAATACGGAGGAATTTATTGATGCTGTGGCACGTAATCTTGAGTCAAAGCTCCAAGATCCTATAGCAGTGATTTGATGAAGCACTTTTGGAAAGTTTGAGTGATGCTTACTTAAACATCTAAAAATTGGTTATGTAATTTTTTTTTAAAATAATAATGTATTAAATAATATTTTGAGTAATTTAAATAATTTTAAAATAAAAGATTATTTTATAATATATATATATATTAATAATAATTTAAACTATAATTATATTTTAATAAATATATATATATATATATATATATATATATATATATAAATTAATACAAAATAAATAAAGATAAGAATTTTATTTATTCATGTTAAGAGATAAGTTTTATTTAATAATAGAAAAAAAAATCAAAGAGATAAGATTCCAAAACATTAAATGAATGAATAAAAAATTATGGTTATAAATAGGAAGGGGAGGGGTTACATAGGAGAAAAAAATTGAAGGAGAAGAAAGGGAAAGAGAGGAGAGAGAAAGAAGAGAGGGAGAGAAAGAAAGAGAGAAAGGGAGAGGAAGATAAAGAGAAGGAAAAAAAAATTTTAAAGGAAAAGTTTTGTAAACATCTTTGATTATTAAGGTAGGGAAATGAGGTATTTATCAATATTCTTCTATATTTTTATTTATAGTTATGGAGTGAAGTGTTCCTAATTTAATCATATTTATTCTTTATATTTTATTTACTTCCAGTTACATACTGGTCGTGTTTTATATTTATTTATTTATCTTCAGTTCTGTATTAGTCTTAATTTAATTATTTTTATACTTGTTTATTTTATCTTTAGTTATGCACTCGTCTTATTTATTTATGTTGAGTTATGTACGAGTACGAGTTCTATTTGTTTATTTTATTTTCAGCTATGAACTGGTTATATTTATTAATTTATATTTATATTATTTATTTATTTTTAAATATTAATATCTATTTATGAAGATTTGATGATATTGTAGACAGAGATTGAACCTTGTGAATTGAAATGAGTAAATATTAATGAGTGAGTGATTAAAATTGAGTTCATTTATCATAATTAGTTACTACAAGTTTAATTTAAATATTTATAAATGGAATAAATGAAATAAGTTGAGCAAGTTGAGAAATATATTTTATATATCATTATAAGATTATATTATTTTAAATGATAATTGCTTTTACTTTCTTATTGTTATTTCTTGTGCATGTTATAATTAAAATATCAACATAAATAGATGAAAGCATTAAGATGAAAAACACGTATCATTCAATCATTGTTAGAAGGAAATTTTTGTCAATTGCAATAATTGTTTCGATATCAAAATAATGTAAACTTGTAAAGTTCACATCTTTGCACATATGAATGTATAAATATTTATTTCATATCTTACTTTTGTTAAGACTTAATAGAAAGTAGTAATCTCTTAAAAAATGGTTAATAATGTGAAAAAAAAGATGTCATATTGATGGTATCATAGCAATGTTTTATGTGAGACCTGTAAAATGAGTCTATCATAAGATTTTATGAATCTTAATTTATATAATTTCAGATGAAAAATAATATGAGAGACAATGAGTTGACAAAAGCGGTACAAGCTATATGAGATATGGTTGTTGTATTATTAAAGAACCAAAGATCTAAATGAATCAATGGATCACAAGGTTTAGTTGAATTTAGAAGAAATAAATTTTCGCAATTTTCTGGAGGTTATAACCTAGAAAAGGTTGAATTATGGATTAAAGAATTGAAAAAAATATTTCGAGTTATGAATTGTCCTGATGACCAAAAGGTGAATTACGCTGTGTTTATGTTAATAGGAGAGATTGAATATTGGTAGGATAGTATCAGGAGATTACTAGAAGGAGGAAAAAAATCATTACTTAGGAGGTGTTTAGAACAAAATTTTTAGGAAAATATTTTTCCAATGATGTGAGGAGAGCAAAAGAAAAGAGTTTATGCAATTAAAGTAAAGAAGTATGACAGTTGGAGAATATGCCTCTAAGTTTGAAGAGCTAGGAAAATACTTTGTATTCTTTTATCACCTTGATGAAAGAATAAAGTGTATAAAATTTGATAATGGACTTAAGCCTAAATTGAGAAAAACAGTAAGAATACTACACATTTCTGATTTTCCTACACTTATTCATAAGTGCAGATTTTTTGTAGATTTTGAAAACCATCAATATGGTACCAAAATATTTTGGACCCCAACAAAATAAAAGGAGACAAAATGAAGGAAAACCCTATAACCATCCTTAATGGAGATCCTAACCCAGTCAATTTTTTGCAGGAAATTTTAATAATTGTATAAATAATCAGTCCAAGTGTTTTAAGTGTGAACAAGATCATTATGTTAAAGATTGTCATCTTAAAGGATTTGTTTGTTTCAAGTGTGGAAAATCTGGTCATATAATTTCTGAATGTCAACAACAAAAATCAAATTATAATCCTTCTGCACCAAAAATAAGACTTCCGACAATAGGAAGACTGTATATCATAAATGGAACTGAAGCCTCTCAAAATAATGATTTGATCCAAGGTATGTGTTTCATTAAAGGTGTTAGATATTGTTTAAATATTGTTTGATATTATTAAGATATTGTTAGATATTGTTAACCACAATATCAAACAATATCTTTTGTTTATTCTGTTTACTTTTGGTTACTCTTTTAATTATACATCTCTCTATTATAAATAGATTATTCTATGTGTGGTTTATACGTAATAGAGATTAATCTCAAATCTTATTTCCTTTATATTCAACATGGTATCTAGAGTTTAAAGTTATTTTGAAATTTTTTTGCCTTTGTCCATTGCTGGAGTCGCCAACGCCGTTGCTGCTAGTTAAACTGATCTTCCACATCAGAAAAGAGTTATTTTTGTTATTGAATATTATTTGGTAATGTGAAAGGGCATGTCTAGGAAGATTATGACAATAAAAGACTTGGTATTTAAGCGTGTTCATTAGTGACTCACCTCTCTTTTTTGAGAACTTATCTGGTGGACTGGATCACGCCGTCGAAGCCGCCGTCAGAGTCGTTGTCAAAGTTTCATTTTTGACCGGCAACATATAGTTTTGCTCGTCCTGGTCAGGCGACCATCGTGTCATTGAGATCACCACTATCGGAATTGGTTGTTCGTTGTCTTCTGCGCGTTTAGTCTCGCGGACTTGTTTTGGTCTTCTCGTTTTGAATTTGCGTTTCTTGAGTTGATTGGATTACTTTGAATTTGTTTAGGGTTTGTTCTCCTGCCCTTCATTTTTACTTTGGATTACTTTGAATTTCTGGTAATGATTCTTCTGTGTTGACATTTCACCGTGATGACCGGACTCCCCTCGCAAACAGGGAAAATGACGTCCTAAATGTGAACATTGTGACAAACTAGGTCACAAGTTTAACAAGTGTTATGCATTACATGATCGTCTTCCTCAGTATGTTGCAGTTGTTCAGATCGATTTTTTCTCACCTTTGTCTGTTGGGGATCCTCCTTCTATTGCATCTGACACACCTACTATATTCAACAAATTTCTCAAATGGTATAAGGCTCAACCGTCTTCTAGCTCCACTACATCTATCGCACACACAAGTACATATTTTGCTAGTCTGACCCAATCCTCTTCTCCTGGTCCTTGGATTTTTTATTCAGGAGTCACTGATCATATTACTGATAATAAATATTTGTTTTCTTCTTTATCATTTTCTAATCTTTTACCTTCTATTACGTTGACTGATGACTCTAGAGTATCATCTCATGGTGTTGAAACGGTTAAAATGTTTACTTCTTTAATCATTAATAATGTTTTTTATGTATCTGAGTCCCTTTTAACCTGTTGTCCATCATTTGTCTAACTCGTTCTCTTGATTGTGTTGTTTCTTTTACCAACAATTCTTATGGTCTTTATCATCTCCGTCCCTCTACATATGTTGGTGCAGTTATGAAGTCTCCCTCTCTTCTTCATGCTTAGTTAGGTCATTCAATTTTTGCCAAGTTACAGAAGTTTGTCCCTTGTCTTGTCCAACTTGTCTACTTTGGTGTGTGAGTCGTGTCAATTAGACAAACATAGTCGTATTTCCTTTTTTCGTAATGTTACACGTGGTGTTTTGTCCCCTTTTGTCGTGGTTCACTTTGACATTTGGGGACCTAGCCGTGTTAAGTATATTTTAGATTTTTAATACTGTTACTTCCATTGATGATTATTCCATATGCACTTGGTTATTTTTGATGAAAAATTGTTCTGAATTATTTCATATATTTCAAACTTTTTTTTAATGAAATTCAAACTTAGTTCGGTGTTTCTATTAGAGTTTTGCGCAATGATAATGACCGTGAATATTTTTTCATTCTTTTAAATTATTCATGGCTTCTCACGGTATTTTGCATTAAACTTTTTGTGCTTATACACCTCAACAAAATGGTATAACTGAAAGTAATTGAAATAACTTGCACTCTTTTAATTCATGGAGAGGTTCCTCAACGTTTTTTGGGTGATGCTCTTCTTATTGCATGTTATCTCGTTAATCACATGCTTTCTTCGATTTTAGATAATAAAATATCTCATTTCATTTTATTCCCTCATGAACCACTTCATCCCTTACTTCTAAGAGTTTTCAGGTCTATATGTTTTGTTCATAATTTCACTTATGGTCTTGACAAACTTTCTCCTAGATCACATAAATGTGTTTTTTTAGGGTTTACAAGATCATAAAAGGAATACAAATATTTTTCTCCTTCTCTTAACCGTTATTTTGTGTCTGCATATGTCACATTTGATGAATTCTCTCTTTATTTTAAAAGTCAATTTTAACCTCTGTCTCCATCCAATCCTATCAACACTTCTAGTACATTTAATGCTCATGTTGTTTGTGACTCTCTAACTGTGTTTTCTTCACTATTAATTCTTGCTTCACAGTTAGCTTCTTCTCCTTCGCTTCTTCAGGTTTATAGTTGCTGAAACCAATTACAACCACCACCATGTGACTCCACTCAAGTGTTAACTATTCTGTCTCCTCCGGATCTGACACCTGAGTCTGACCTTCTCATTGCCTTCTGAAAAGGTATCCGTTTTACACGTAATCC